CTGAGATGATTTACATTTTTGTAGGATGTCGACGAGATCGCCGATAAACAGCGGAGTAAAGTGGAGAACTTGGCCAAATACGTCCATTTGCAGGAGGTAGGCACATTTCAAATTATTATTTCGGTCAGAAAATATTAACTATTTTACAACAAACCAGTGATAATATATTTAAATAAGTACCATTTATGTTTCTATCAAAAAGATTTAGGGAAAAAGGTAATGTAAGTCCACTGCTGTTTATCTGAAGTTGCAAGCCACAAATTGACGTTTAACTATGATTATTGCATGGCCATTTTCTTGTGAAATATTAGTGCTTGGCATTTCACACTTACCAATGACCACCCCCAAAAGTACCATCTCTGAACCATATAAGCACCTCAGAATAGCCAAAGCTTTTATGGTTTGGTAGATAGCAGTATGGCGAAAGCATTGTTTTTGGTGTGGTCAGTTTCGGACGTTTCGTCCCGGATTGGGGTTCGGGCAGCGTTACCATGTTGACCGTCATGGTCAACTTGCCCTAAAACAGTTGAGATTATCTGTCCTAAATGAAATGCATACAAATTCATATACAGGTCCTCGACTACATGGCACAGCATGATAGGACAAAGATAAACCGCAAACGAATTCCTCACATCTAATAACTACTAACTCAGCAACAGCAGCATCATTAGTAAATGAATTACGTATCAGTTCTTCAAAAAGGTTAAAATCATGTCTTAAATATTCGATAACATCTTCTCTCGCAGCTAGTTCTTCACGTTCCGCCATGTTTCTACGATTTTTGGCGCGACATTTACTTTCCATTTCCTTATATCGCTCTTTCTCCGCCAAAAATGTCGTTTTATTTTAGTAAAATGTCGTTTTATATATTTGAGGAATTTCGTTTTATATATTTGAGGAATTTCGTTTTATATATTTGAGGAATTTCGTTTTATATATATTTGAGAAATTTCGTTTTATATATTTGAGGAATTTCGTTTCATATATTTAGTAAAATGTCGTTTTATATATTTGGCAATATTTCGTTTTATATATATACTAATGTCGTTTTATATATGGGTGTTTCGATTTATATATGAGTTTTTCATTTTATATATTTCTGTTTCGATGTATATATTTCTGTTTCGTTTTATATATGGCAATTTCGGCTTACAAATATAGATTTGAAATTACATATTTGAAATATACATTATATAAATGGACATAACGTAATATTGTCCATCTTGGCACGCCATATCATGCAACGGTGTAAACGATGCAATGCAGTGTAAATGGGGTTTGTGTAGGTTCAAATAGAACTCCGCTATAGAATTCGACAAATTAATGCAATGCAAAACCACATTGGATGAAGACAATAAGTTTACAAATCAAAGTTTATTTATTTAAAATTCAAAAAAATGTTGTTCATTACATGCATGGAAACATTACATTACAAAAAATTGCCTTTGCCTCCCCCCCCTCCCCAGTTAAAAAAAATTACAAATGGCATTGCGGTGTGTATATGGCACTGTCTTACTAATGTCCGATATTTTTATGTTTATCAATCAAGTACTTGACGTTTCGAACTTGTTGCTCTCAGCTTTTCGCCCACGAGATCATTCAAAACGATATTTCTTCAAACGTTAATCAGCAAATTCAGGTTAATGCAATCGTATAGGTGTTCAAAGAATGGAAATTATGTACGTATGTTATTGCATGTCTAGAAACTGACACTTAGCTAACAAATATAAAACATTTTCGGTTTGATATACAGTTATTTCCAAAAGGATTAATTATAGGGGTAGGATGGCAATTGGGACATTAGTCCTGTATCTAACTCCTGCCAGTCGTCTGTTTGGTAAACTTGTAACTTGGCAACTTGCTATATACATGTCATTGTAATTTACTGGCGAATTAATTAAACAAACTAAACAAACTAAAAACTAAACTATGAGGAAAACACAAAGAAAAATCACCACGACGAGCTTCCTCTGGGGCACTTGGTCTTTTTGCAGGAATCCGCCTCGTGTCTCATGAGAAACAATGTTACCTGCTTTAGCCGCCCACAGGAAACATTGCTGGGAACGATGTTTCCTGGTTTAACCACTAGCTTCAGGGAAATAAAGCTGGTAACACTGTTCTAACCACAGAATAAAGATCAGTAACAGAAGGGCCACTCAGCGGTGCAACGTGTCCGCGTTTTTTATGCAAAAATATGCAGTTTACTGGCCAGAAGGCAGAGCATCCAGCCAGTACAGCGTGTTTATTGGCCAGAAAATGTCATTGACTGGCTAGGAAAATGGCGGCCAACATGCGTAATGCGACATGCGCGAGGACAGAAACTTCAAAGCTTCCGACGTAATTAAGTGGCCCTTCTATATGGATCTTTATTCTATGGTTCTATACTAACTATAGGTTACGCTTTTTTGAAGATTCGTTTTAAGAAAGTATTCGTTTCTACGTAAAAAATTCCATGAAATTCTATCTAATCATTCAAAATCCAAACTTCTGTAAATTATATTGGTCATTGTGTTAAACTTTGGCTTAGTAAGGCTTTTTTTCTGGTATGCCGTTTCATTTAGTGCATAATTTCCTAACAGTTTATTGAAGCGAGGCGCTATAACAAAGCATTGGTTGTTATATACAACTATATTTCACTGTATCCTTCTCTTTTACAACATCGGTCACATAGTTCTTTCATTTTCTTGCCAAAGAATACACAGCCATCCTTTAAGAGATTAAGAAAAAGGGACACAAGGTTTTTATTCACAATTCAACAATGATTGGTGAGACCTGTTTTCGCTTGCTAATCCCTAAACAAACAGTATTCCATTCACGACCCAACATTTCGATAGTTTAGTGTCTTCATCAGGACTATTGTAGGCTGCTTATACACTCGAAGGATGACGTCATTACCCAACAAGGTACATCACCTCCTTTCAATGCATGATTCAAATTTATGTATGGTAGCTTATTTCAACAACAGTCTCTTCAACTTATTAACATCTTCATGTGCATAATGTAAGGAGGTGCAGTGCTTTTCGACTTCTTCACCCCCTGATGAAGAGACTAGACTGGAGTATCGAAATGTTGGGTTGGGAATGTATGTGATTTGTGCTAGGTCTGGGAAATAAATGCATTCATTTATTTAAACCGGCGTAGTGAGCGACAACATATCTAATACAGTAAGCCCCCGCGTATAAGAACCTATAGATTTTAAGAACCTGTTAGGCTAAAATTTCTTATTTAGACCCCCTTTATATAAGAACCTGTTTAGTCTAAAATTTCAAACAGTTTCTTAACTCTTTCCTGTCACGACCCTATAAACGCAATACACTGCTGTAATACGACTTTGCAGATTCATATCTTTGGTTCGGTGCATGCTATGTAGATGAAAATGCCACCATTCGATTCAGCAAGTCGAAATCTCCTAGTTCCTAACGATAGATTTAGTCGATGTCAACATTATCACAATTTATGACCTTTGGAAGTCAAGCGAGATTGTATATTATCAAATTACGCAATTGTCTGAACAACAATGTAGACTGGCCGTACCTTTCGCCGAACATAACTTCGGCCGCTTCGGCCGTATCTTCTTTGTAATAGTCTTGTTCGAATCGCTGTCAAAAACACTATTTAGAGTGTTATTTTCGAGATTGTATCATCAAATTTGAATCTTTTATTACCATATTTCCATTTCTGGTCTGACTAGTGAGATAATCCAACCGGAAGTACGACTTAAAAATGTCATAACAATGCTACGCTTGCATCGCGTGACTCTGGAAATGCCAGAAATGGATTCTACAGGTCAAAGTGCACCCATACGCGCACAGGGAGCAGAAAAGTACGATTGTGTTTATTTAAAATACCTTGTCATCAACCAATATATCGCATAGTTTCATCCAGGTTTCATCACGATGAAAATTATGTTGATTTTCGATAATATCATGTCTACTACTTCATGTAATTCAAACATTGTATTACAAGGACTGACCATAGTAGCGTGGGCTCATACTAGAACGATTGACTTTGCTTACACGTACAAATAATAGAAAGGGATGAAACCCCCGATCGCGAAATATTTCGAATGGATATAACTGGCGTGTTTCTGAACCAAAACCTTTTATTTTTTGTATGCAGTTTAGATATGATACACTTAGCATACCTGTACAAGGAAATTTTTAGAAACGGTTATTATACCGAAATTTTTGGGACTACAATTTTGGCTTATTTTGTTTCAACGTGCACCGCAACAGGTGGTGACGGAAGTGACGTAGTTACGCACTTAAAAGATATTGCGCATGACGAAAACTATTTTTCCAACTGATTTATATTATTAATCATATATATTAAATATATGTCATACAGTATTTTTATGATTAGTATACAGTTTCAAAATAACGCTCATATAAATATGCTCATATAAATTGTCACTCATTGAATTGTCGCTGAATTGAATTCTCCTTGAATTGAATTCTTGAATGAATTGTCACTTATTGAAAGAATTGTCACTTATTTGATAATTCATACAAAGCCTACGAAATACAAGCCAAAATGCACCGGTATTACAAAAAGGTCTATATTAACCGAATTAACGAAACCGTTTCAGAGTTTATTTAAATTTACTGCCATTTTTTTCGCCCCATAAGTGCATGTATAGTTTATTTTTGAATTTAAATAGTCTATTGATATATCTTAAGTCTGCACACACGGCGAAGACGAGTTTAAATCGTGACCGGTTTTGTAAAGACTGCCGTTTGGATTTATACAGTCATATTAAACAAAGTTCAAAGTCGTGGATATATTCACGTACAGTTGATCGATTCAAGAACAATTGTTTTAAAATTATTGAAAAGCTTTATACCATCTAGATACAAGAGCGTGTGTTGCTTTTGAATCGATTGATTCGCATTTCTTTTAGTTGACAAAACGTTCCATATTAATATTTGACTAATTTGAGTTTGAATTTCGCAATATTTTTTAAAATTTGTTATTGTCATTCAAATTATTAACCGTTAATTCGATTAAAACGTCATGGAAGATGATAGGTCAATTTTCCTTCAACTTCCGTTCTACTTCCGGTTACAATGTCGAATTTACTTCCGTCACCAGTTGTTGCGGTGCACATTGAACGAAAGATTTTCGGCGTTTCATCCCTTTCTTATTTATGTACGGGTTACACCCTCGGCATCCTTTCGTAAGATGTTCGGAAATAGTCGTTGCGATGCAATATGTTTGAATTACATGAAGTAGAAGGCATGATATTATCGAAAAAATAAAAATCAGCTAATTTTGATCCTTTTATGACTATGTCTGCGGATTGTTGTGATATAAATATGGGATATTCGTTGATGACAAGGTATTTATAAAACACAATCGTACTTTTCTGCCCCCTGTGATACGCGTGAGTTTTACGTCATCCCGGCTAAAGCGAGCTCCTTATCGGCCAAATATTACGTAATACAAGCGCGTGCGAGTAAAACCCGATACCTTGAAAAATTCAAAATAAATATTTCTACTCGCCGTATTCATACGAAACTTTCTACACGAAAGCGCCTGAATACAAAGAGTATTTTACACATATAGCCTTCCAAAAAATGACGAAAAGTTTAGAAGATACTCAAGTTTTACTGTTTTTTCTCGTTTGAATGTTTGGCGAAGCGGTGAGTATAAATATATGATTGTTTCGGTTTGTGTAATGTTTTGATGGCACTTGACCCCCCGTTCGAAAGGTTATTTTGTGAGGATTTCAATGGTGGCATTTATTTAAAAGGGGGGTAAATACTCGCCGAGATATTTATTTTTGAAAAATTGAGTCGTAATGTAATGCGAAACCGGCTTGACGATTAAACTCTAAGAGTTGAAACTAAAGACTCTTCACAAAGAATGACTATAGGGATCCAAGGATAGTGTAAAGTTTCAACTTGAAAAAGGTACGGTCGCCGACAACCTGGAACAGTAAGACCATAGGCATAGGCTAGAGCAGGCATAGGAATACAGCAGGCTAGCCTGCGCGCAGACTATATAATGACATATATAGTCTGCGAATCCGTGGCATGTTGCGCGCAGACTATATAATATATCTTATTGGATTCTTCTGAGCCCAATATGGCAAAATATTAAGTCGAGACTTCAATATTGGGCGAGACCGAAGGTCGAGCCTAATATTGAAGTCGAGACTTAATATTTTGCCATATTGGGCGAAGATGAATCCAATAGGAGTTTTATTATATCGAACAAAACAATTCTATAACAAAATTGTCAATAAGCGATAAAGTAAATACAGCGAGACTAATACAGCGACAACATTACTACATATATCGGCGAATTTGCTTAAATAACTAAAAAAAGGTTAATAAACCTGTTTTTACAAATATGTGTGCATAAATAAACTCAATTCCACGTATGTTTAAAGGAAATTTGACCTAATTTTAAGGAAAAAAATAATATTACTAACTTCTAGGCTGTTGCAAACAAATAAATTTCGCGAAGACAAGTTTTCCCGCGCTTTTATAATTTTAAACAAAACTGGTAGAAAAAACTGTATTAATGTCCCAAATTATTTTCATTATTCTGCCATATCGTTTGTCGTATGTTTGAAATTGACAAAACATCTGAAAAGGGTTGAAAAACCATGAAAAAAGCCACAATTCGCAACTGTCCAATAGGTTCCTGTCCAATATCATAAAATATTGGATCGGCACGAGACCCTCTCAACGATTACTGATTGGTTAAGTGCGCGTGAGTGTATAATAATGACATATATAGTCTGCGAATCCGTGGCATGAAGCTTGTACGGTCACGTGAATTTCCCGAGAACAGTTGGGACGAATTGTGATTGGTTGAACTATAATTATGCAGAATTAATGTTAATTCATCGGACATTGCGTTCGCAACGCGCGTTGGGCTGTTCAAAATTGACCGTTTCCAGGGTCAAATGACAATGTTTATTACAGTTGCATTTATAGAAGTGTGGCGGATAAACAAGAAAGGCTGTTGTTTTCAAAACGGAAAGCCCATTTCGCCAAACAGAAGATGTAATATTATAGACGAAATCAAATTTAAGGGAGGCAATAAAGATACAGGTATTTTCATGGGGAGTTTTGTTGATTTATATAGCGAATAAGTTTGAAATCCCGAATGGTTGTAAAATCTCGAAAAGCTGTAATACCTGTATCTTTATTGCCTCCCTTAAAGGTGATCTACAGTCCGTATGTAAACAAAGCCTTTGTTTACATTTTTGTGTCCAAAATATTGAGCTTTATTCGACAACTATTTATATTTTCAAGCTTCTAGAGTATAATAAATGATCAAGAAACAACAATCAGGCTTTTCAAGAACTCAAAACATAGTTAAACTGTTTGTATCATAAAAAGTGGGCTCATTTGTGCACATGCGCAGATCGGACTGTAGATCACCTTTAAATTTGATTTCGTCTATAATATTACATCTTCTGTTTGGCGAAATGGGCTTTCCGTTTTGAAAACAACGGCCTTTCTTGTTTATCCGCCACACTTCTATAAATACAACTGTAATAAACATTGTCATTTGACCCTGGAAACGGTCAATTTTGAACAGCCCAACGCGCGTTGCGAACGCAATGTCCGATGAATTAACATTAATTCTGCATAATTATAGTTCAACCAATCACAATTCGTCCCAACTTTTCTCGGGAAATTCACGTGACCATACAAGCTTATAGTCTGCGCGCAGGCTACAGCAGGCACGTTACTCAAAAATGTGGATTAGAACAACGTTTTTACGAAATAACGAACTCTTTGTTAAATGTTGAATTGCAAGAGCTCTTATTTGGGCATGACGACTTTCTGTTTTGTAAAGCTGATGGCTTACACTACGAAATAAACAGTTAGCATAGGCATTTCATCTCATTATCTATTGTTTTTAATGCGTTCGGCACACGAGTAGCGTGACGTTTGAAACAAGTCTAACACATCAGAAACGTCGTGCCTCGTGGAACTGATACAATTTATTTACTTATTGTGATGCTACACGCGACAACTCGAAATTTCAATTGTTTCACCAACAACCAAATTTTGTATATTCTAAAACTACATTAATTTTGCATTGGGAGCAGTCGTTGGGAGCTATCGCTGAAAGTATCCCCATGAGGCTACTGATATACTAAACTTATTTAAAACTATGATTATTCCCATCATCCTCTCAGTGCCCATATTGCACATTTCACTATTGTCTCAGTGACACTCTTTAATTGAAATAGCTGTATAATTGGTTAATACGACGTTGCATCCATTACAAAATAACATAAATAAAAAACACAGAAACGAAAAATCAGGCGAAAAACTCATTATGACGCATTTTATCCCCATATCCGTTCCGCATTTTATCCCCATATCCGTACCGCATCCGCTCCATGGATCCGCATCCACTTCCGCATCCACTTCCGCATCCGCATTTTAACCTAATTGTGACAGACATGTTTCACAATAACAAGTCTCATTGACCTTTGACTTTATATTCCCAAGATCAAGTTGCTTTTCATGAGTCATTTTCAGCTATTCGCAAGTATTCAATAATGTCACTTTAGATGTCAATAGTTTCACAATTATAGCAGTGTTTATAGCAGTTTTGATAAAGCTTTGATACAGATAGATTCTTGTAAGATCTGGTATAGTTCTCACTGCATTGAATACTGTATTGAACACGAGTGAGGGTGGGAAGGGTATGGATCACGTTTCACAACGAAAAAAAAAGCCGTTTCACGATTCACGTGTCATAAAAAAGCAATTTCACGGAAAACTAGATTCTAATAAAATAAAATAATAATAATAGGTTTATTAAGAGTATGTTTAATGCATGGTACAGCATTTACGCTTTAAGTTAGCCCGCGTGCAGGCCCAAGGGAAGAATAGTGGGCCTGCAAGCAAGGCCCGGTATTTTGTAAAACGCCCCTTTTCATAACACGCCCCATTCGCGCGTCAACTGTCAAAAAAGAACCAATGACAGCAACCCAAATAGTAACAAGCAAACTCGCATTGAAATGTTGCGGGGGTTTTCTTTGATTTAATATTCAAAATAGAAACAATGTGTAAATGGCTGTGTTTTAACTCCAATTAATAATTCAAGCACGTTAGGTGAAAGAACAGCCCGAAAATAAGTAAAACACACACCAAATCATTGTGGGAGAATGGGTTCAGGGTGAAGTGAACCAATTACATACATTATACTCTCAAACTCTGGTCAACCCAAAGACTCATTAAGCCTTATGTTTTCATCCCGCAGGCGTATATATAAGACCTGCTAGGAGAGACTGAATGCTCCATAGGAGCTCTGCCCGAAGGGTAGCGACCCCCTCTGACATAGACCTGAACCAAGGGGTGATAATCCCCTTGAACAGTACCTACGATTCGACTGATTATATTTACATAAATAACCTGAGTCTATGGGCCTGAAGTTGACCATTGGGAACACTTCAACCCCACAAATACACAGCATGTGTATTCCCCATAGACGAACTCCCACCACAGCTGTATTTGTATACAAGACAGCTGCTGCCAGATGATAGTTAGACATATATTTGGGTGTTACCATCACTCATACTATAGCTGGATAGTCAGGGAGGCCAGAAAAAACCTGGAATATACAGGAAACCTGGATGGGGCCAAGACAACCAGCAGCTTCCCCACAAAGCTTCTATCTTACAATTTTTTAATTGGAGGGTTGGTAACACGTTTTGCACAACATTTATTTGTTAACCACACTTATTTTATTTCAATTATGATCAGTGGACCTTTCTCGAATTATGTGACATTACTCTCAGAAAAATAGCTTAGGGGCCATTCACAAAGGATGTCCGAGCCGAGGGGGGTGAGGGGGGTTTGGAAAATCAGGACAAACTCGGACATAGGGGGGGAGGGGGGGTTTTTAGCAATCCGGATGTCCGAAATTTAAAAAAAATTTTCCCTCTATTTTGAGCAGTCCTTCCCATTGTGAAATTGGCATTTTGACTATGCGGTTAACACTAGATTTTGTTTTAATTAGTAATTTATATGTTTTTGTGTTCACATTTACAGTTATAAAAAAGTTCTAAAAGTAAAAAAAGTTTTTTACTCTTGATATATACAAGGTTGCGTGAGTTTTTGCGAGGCATGGCGGATGTCCGGGGGGTCACTAATTCGGACAATGCCGGACAAGGGGGGGAGGGGGGGTCTGAAAATCCATCATTTGGCCGGACATCCTTTGTGAATGGCCCCTTATTCATTACTTCAAAATAGCAAGACCAAAATTTTGCGATCGAACATCCGATCATGCATGCATGATATTAGCAGAAAGAAATTGTAAGAATATGTATGTGGTAGTCAAAATAGATTATATGCAGTAAATAATAGTACATCAAAGGATTTTCAATTTTCAAAAGCGTAGGCATACATGGTATCGTACTAATCTTTCCTTATATCCATCTTGGCATCTTGCCGATTTATCGCAAATGTGCATAAACATATATCATGTGCAGAGTTTTAAGTCTCAAATTTCGTTCACAAATGAGCTTGCTTTCTTAAGTTTTGAACAGTAAAGTATTGAAAATGTATGCAGGTCAAATTAATTTTGTGAAATAGCTGAAAAAGAAGTTTTATAATTCTACTTTTGAGCGATTGAATACAGTTTAATGTAAGGCCTGATTGAAACCCAATCCAACGCCAAATCTGAGGCGTAGTCTGAAGCCTTTAATCTGCGGCTAATCTCAAGGTAGTAATAAAATTGTCATTGGAATTTTTGATCGACAAATATAAATACACCAAAATCACGGAATGTTGTTATAAAATAGACGAATTTTAATACATTTTGGTTGGTTTGAGATGCGGAATACGAAACAAACGTGTCAATGCACCGCATACTTACGCGCCGAATACCGCTTCACTTTGGGAATCATGTGCATTGAGACATGGAATGATATCAATTGAACGCTTGTTGATTTCGTGTTTAGCGGCTTTAGCCTATCGATCTTGTTGTTATTCCCCCAGCGGCGGTTTCATTTAATGGTAATAACTTCGTCGGGACTTGGGCCAACGTATTCCTTTGTCCACCAGAAGAGTAAGCGCTTGTCCGGTAGAGTTCTATTTGAATAAACTTCGTCTCACTGAATTATCATACTGAGTTACTGACCAAATTTTCTTTGATATAACCATGATATGTCAATTCCAGCGTTCATAAACTCTTTTCTGTCACATTGTCTCAGTTCATTCGATGCCCGTAATTCTTTACAGCTCCGCACCAAGTCAAATTTTCAAATTTTCTTTCTCGGTAACAAGACATTGCTCTTTGTTGGGATATTTGTCAAAGTGAACTCCCTTATCACATTGACCTTTGTTGTGCGTGTTCGTTGTTGACTTATGATTGGTCAGTTGATCTTTCATTCGGTTTTACACATGCCCAGAGAAACATTTGAACTTTGGACTATTGGATATCGCCTTTTTGTGGCTGTTGACAAGCTTATCCTGTTACTATGAGATTATACCCAGGTTTGAAGGTGACAAACGTGTTGTCTCATTAACTTGAATTTATATATTGTTATATATAAATTTGCTAAAATTCTCTAACCACTCAGCAAGGAAGACAATGGTCGAGAAGTTGAAGGAAAATCACATTCCTGATACAGATATTATATAATTCAACATTATTTATAATTTTTATCGACTTGTCTGATGTATATAGGGCCTAGAATCTCTGCAAAATCTTACCTATAACACCCATCCTTCTTGTGTATAAAAAAATCAAATGTAAATGAAAGACAGCTGTGTTGTGACTTTCTAATCAAAGGCATTTACTAATATTCAGTTATTATAGCTAAAACGCTAAGTAAAGTATTTATATTTTAGGTGTCCGGGCATAAGAATTTGATGAGTCTCAACACATATGATATGACGTGCTTTCTAATGATCGCATGAGAAGAATGAGTGGTGTACTTTCTGGTAGTGACAACAACAAGGCAAATGATTCTTCTACTCCAGGAAGTGGTTTATCTGGCTTCTTGTCAGGTTCTACTATTTCTGGTGGAACTTTCAACATCACTGTAAATGCCTGCCAGTCATCCACATTGTCACCAACATGGTCCTCAACAACCAACATTCAAGCAGAAAAACGGAAAAAAGTTATACTTCAATCATATTCAGATGATGATTGACTTGCCAGATAAGTTTTCCAATGTTTGTTAATCTCAAGTTACATCTTACTTTTCTATACTGTTGAAACATTTTGTTGTACTATTTAAAAAACGAGCAGGAGTGTTTTATTAGGTTTAAAGCCACGAGCGCGCAGCGTGAGTGGCTTTAGACCTAAAAAAACACGACGCGCGAGTTTTTTAAATGGCTTCAAAAACGTTTGCATAATTATAAGTCAAATCTTTATATAAAAATCTTTATATAAAACTCTTTATATAAAAATCTTTATATAAAAATCTTTTTATAGTTTGTATAACAATGGTCTTTAATTTGTTAAAGTGTTTTTTAGCTGGTATAAAGACGTATGCACGTGACTTAATCTCTTACTCAAGATTGGATAATTGCTTCATGAATTATTAATGAGTTTTTGAATATAAGTTAAATTATACTATATTTTAAGTACTGTTTAATAAATGAGCAGGAGTGTCTTATTAGGTTTAAAGGCACGAGCGCGCAGCGCGAGTGGCTTTAGACCTAATAAAACACGACCTGCTAGTTTATTAAACGGCTTCAAACACGACTACAAATTCAATAGATATACTGCTTTATTAGCATTCGTTATATAAGGAATGCTAATGAGGACACGAATACTATAAATACTGCCTTATTAGTATTCTTTATATAAAGAATACTAATTAAGAGTGTTTATCAGGTTTAAAGCCACTGCACGTGACACATTATGGCTGACATAATTTGCCAATAAGCATAATAATATAATGAACTCATGATTACTAGATTACATTGATATCGAAGGAACGAGACCCTGTTCCGAAATATCACATATTCGAACCGACCTGCGACCGCGTAGCTCAGTTCGCAGAGCGTTGGGCTAGTATTCCAAAGGTCGTAGGTTCGATTCCCATCGTGGTCAGGCATATTTTTCAAGCTTGCCCGGCGTGGATATACACTCAGAGTAACATCACAAGTATCATTATTAATGAGTGTTTGAAATTGTATATTATTAGTTATATGAATGGTTTATGTATTTTCTAAAATCATATTTGTTCAATAAATGTCACGTCATCCCTCATATGATAACCTATATATATATATATATATATATATACTCAACACAAAAATTGTAGAGCAATATTTATTGTCAACACAAAAATTGTGCTCAACACAAAAATTTGTAGAGCAATATTTATTTAATTATAAAAGTACAATCAATTAATCATTCATGTACAGTTTTTAAGATTAAATATATATATATATATATATATATATATATATATATATATATATATATATATATATATATATAAAATATTGCGTTTTCAAAATGTCATTATGCGATGTGATGTCACACCGGTGATATTTGCATATGAAACAAAGTCAAAAATATCTTGCAAAGGAGGCAAAGTTACCAAAATTCTATAAAAGAAATTATTAAGTCATTTTAAGTGATCTTTACAATGCAATCATAAACATTTGAGGTGAAATTTCGTGTCATAGGCACTTTAAATAATAAAAATAATAATTTCGCGCCTACATGTACGCGCGAAATTTCTGAACCGTCGCGCATGGTCAGATATTTCGCAAAGGTCAGGAATTTCGCTCGACACCGGATCAAGCGAGTATAAGAGTGCATGGGAGTTGGTAATCACGCGATCTTGGTAATGTGTTCTTAATGGTTTCCCAACACCATAATGTATTCAATTTAAATTCAACCATAGTTGGAATACTCATCAAACCTTTATTTTGTCAATTTCGAACTTGAAATGTTCTCCCTAACAATGCGTGATAGCCATCTTTCATCAACATTCATCCTCATATGGACGTCATGCTTTACATTAGACTCACCAATATAATTATGTTCCTAAATTTCTTTTGTGTTGGACTTGGCTGCCGTTACGTCCTTATTTTGAACTATTTTAATTTGGTTACGGAATAGCGGACATCGAAAGTAAAATGGCCTGTAGGCACATACAGTATTTGATGGGTATTGTAGATTGAATCAAATATTATTCATTCGAGTGAGATGACACAAAAACGTTGATATTTACCTGCATGTAGGCACATATACCTGAAAACCTTGGTTTGAGCATGAAAAAGTGAAGTTTCAAGATATATAATTTTTTCTTGAATCTTTTCCTATACGATTTAAATTTCTCCTAAGACAAAAATCAAAATTCCCTGTGAAAATTATTTAATACCTGTTATATGGAAGGGTGGATTTACGCCAATACACAAACCAAAAGCATACACAGTATACAGTAATTTTATAGTTCCCCTCGCACATGTCATCACTTGTAGCACACACGACCAAGTTCGTGCTTTATTCAATACAGATTCAGTATTAATGCGCAAAAGAAGTAGTTACCAAACCACTACGACAGAAGAGAAATGCTTCTTGACGCTACCTTGAATCTGACGCCTCCAAACTTACATGCTCGTATGTTGATTATCTGGATCAGTATTACAATTTACATTTTCACATGATAGATAAGCGAACAATGATTATGACAGCTGACATGGATTGAAATTTTTGAAAGTTTGCTTAGCGAGATAGCTATAATATAAAACAATTATATAAGAATTGAATTTATTAAAATATACATTTTAAAATACGTCCATGGTTTTATAACTCGTGGTTGCGAACAGAGTCCTAACTCCAATCCCCCAAGCAAATTTGAACTGATAAATGGTGACTTGTTGCATACAAATTTATAATTGTGATCCTATGTCAAATATTTAGACATTATAATTGTTGATATTGGACTGCGTGACGGTATTTTTTTCCTTCCATAACAGTAACGTGGAAAAGACGGAGTCGGAGTCCCGGAGTCGCCGGAGTCGTCGGAGTCCCGGAAGGGCCTTTACCTAATTTGCATATTGCTTACATATGCAAAATAGGTAATATAAAGGAATTAATTAAACATGCAAAAGGCTGATTCTTTAGGGAAAAGTGTAAGTTTGTGTGAATAGTTAAAGGGCTTAAATTGAAGAAATTGTTGGAAATTTCGTGCCGCAATTAAACACCAAACACATTTTCCACCCATTACGCCAAAATACGATTAAAGCCTTTAAATCTCGTGAGCAAGCCATTTTTGGTTTGTTGGAAAATATTCACCCCCCTGGTTTACAAAATTTGAGTTTGAGATATTTTTTTCATTATTCTACATTTTTTTTTCATTATTCTACCAAAGAAGCTATATAGATAAAAAAACTGGATACTAATAGCTGTTTTGCAAAATTGAGAGCAATTTCAAATCTGTTCAGTTTTTTTATACACCCTTAACATTCTCTGAAATGCTAAAGTCGTTTCACTGAACTTTACTTTCCTGCAATGCCCGTCCTACTATTTTTTCGTCTTTAATATGATTGCTTTGACATTAAAAAGCCGCTTTTTACGTCATGATCAAAGCTTTGAGGTTCGCACTGCTATTATAATGACAATAATTAGCTAAAAAATTGAAGTCAAAGCTTCGAGGTTTGCACTGCTATTGTAGTGACAATAAGGTACAGATTTGACGTCAAAACGTTAGGTTGGTGCTACCAAGCATACGTGGAGTACTAGTAATGGAGGCCTACATGCATCCTAATAATCTTGCTTGTTATATCTTAGCACCCAAAAGCTTAGTGCGTATACGTTCGTCCCTTA